CATTTTCTAGAATAAATACAACACGAAGTCACTTATAAAAAAATAATAAAGATTTAAAGATATGATAAAAGATCTAAGGCTAAAAAGAAAGAAGAACAAAATACTTTAAATATGGTGGGAATCGAACCGGGTTTACCAACTCTAATTGGATAATTAATTCCAACATAACGGCCTTTATGCCATACGTCCTACACACCMACTGGAGTGTCGTATGGACTTCGAATTCGGACCTTAATTCGGAKATTAAGGCTCTCTGCCCTTGGGTGTACTGATTACGCGGGATTGTGTTCTAGCCGTGAAGAGTGAAGCATTTTAATGCTATATCTTAATAGCTTAATTGTTTCATCATAACTCCCATACATTCTCATATAAACCATACACAGGAATATAGTTTGGGCTGCCTGTGAACAACTCTTTCCTAGGGCTTAATAGTCTCCCTCGCATCCGTTTTTAGTGTCGGTCGTCACGCAACGCTCCCTCCCCACAAACGGCTGCTTGCATTCGAACTACATACCTTTCTCGTTGTTTGGATCGTACCAATGAAGTCGAGCGTATTGTTTCCTATTGAGCCAATCACAGTGTCCGAAAGTATAAACATGCTGAGTTTCAATCGAGCTGCCAGAACGTCCCCGAAAGCAATCGGTGCGGAATATTCGCCGTTTTCGACTTCACACCGTTCTTCCTCTTCAAGTGAGCTTATCTTCACAGCACTAACTCCTAAACTACGTAACTTTGAGACTTGGTCATCCATTAGACGTATTAGCGACCTATAGATACGACGACGGGTACGAGTACGAGTAACGCTAAATCGTGGTCGATTTCCGATTTTTTACATATTTGATACACGATCAAGACTACAAAGAGATAGTGCCAATCTTTAAGAGTTTTAACTCGGATTCTCGTACTCGTCGTTAGATCTAAAGGTCTCAATTAAAGGAGACACAATAACCACGATGTGATCAGACTCTAGTGTATATTTGTAGTCAAATACGAGAGGCAGAGCTTGGTAGAGATTTGCTAAACCCTGTTGGCAGATTGACAAAAATATCTTTTTTCTCTTCGACGACTAAAGCTTTGATAGCCGACTTGTGATGCGCCTTTAGTTCAGGAATACCGAACTTTGAAGACACGAGGCCAAACATGTACACTTCTTCTCTATGAACGAGTTGAGAATGCGAAATAAAAGCTGAACGGTGATTGGTCAGATCAAAAGTCCGCAAACCTCAAACAATGAGAAAGGAATGTAGTTCGAATGCAAGCAGCCGTTTGTGGGGAGGGAGCGTTGCGTGACGACCGACACTAAAAACGGATGCGAGGGAGACTAAGGGCTTAACCTTCCTATCATCACTGATAGCTCGGCCACCTTGTGCAGATGGTGAAACTAGAAACTCCATCTCAGTTTTCAGAAACTATCAATGCTGATTTTTGTGTTTCCACCTGTAAGGTTCCTATATAAATATTGACATCCGGCTTCATGTAATAGAAGGCCTCAAAAAATAGATTAAAGCAACTTTATGCAAAAAGACATTTATATCCATTAAATATGATTTTTTTGTGCAATATTGACTGCAATGCACTCTTTTGTTTTTCTTATAAAGATCCTATACTCTATATTGCGTCACTTTGACGTCTGCATGGGTTAGAACTTCAACTTTGTGCTTGTCTTTTGTTGCTTTTCGGCTTTTTATAAGTAGTATGCAAGCACCAGTTCTGCATCAGGATCAGAGGGGGTGTTCTCCATCATTGAGTTCTGGCAACCGCTCCGGAGCAAAAGGGGGCTACTTTTTTACCTCCTCGTCTAAGTTCTTTATCTGCTGTCCATAGGGTAGCTTTATCGCATCCCTCTTTACCACCTTTCCTCTTCTTACTCCTACTCTGGCGCACTTCTCTACCCTGAACGTCATCCCAATGTCTGTACTAAATATTCGTACAGAGTGCAGTAGTGACTCGATTTCTTTATCTTTCTTCCCATAGAGCTTCATATCATCCATGTATAACAAATGATTCAGTACAATACCATTGTTCACTGCCTTAAACGAATCCTGCATTCGTTTCTTGCGGCTTTAAATGTGATATCCGATTTTTGAAGTATTTGATCAGTCACTGTGGAGGCTGGTTTTGAGATGAGAAGTCCAGAATCGCTTTTATCATTCTTCGGCCGCCATATTGAGTAGCTTTGCACTTCGCAGAACTACCTTGTTGATGAGGAGTTGGTCTTTCGTTCCTCTCGATCCACGACTACAGCCTTTCTGTTCAAATGGTATCATTATTATTATATGCGCAGTTTTTAAAACATCTGGGCCCTGTTGTACGAAGCCTGGATAGCGCTATCCAACGGATAAATCTTATCCAGTGGATAAATTTATTGGATAACAGCATCGACTTATCCACTGAATAAGGATTTATCCGCCGAATAGCGCTATCCAAGCTTCGATGAGAGGTTGATGAGAGGTCGATGAGAAGTCAATGAGAGGTCGATGTCAAATTACCTTCTCCTCTCCTCCTGCTATCAGGCTATCAATAGCTTAGCTACTCAGGCTATCAATAGCTTAGCTATCAGGCTATCAATAGCTTAGCTATCAGTATGAAATAGAATGATCGCTGTTTATATAATAAAGAGCAAGATAACAGAACTAATCACTTGATTTTTGCATAACTAGGGGGAACTAAGTAGGTCTTATTGTTTATCGTTTATGAGTCATTAATTGCATTGTGTTGGATACAATAGTCATCAAATACTCGAAGTATTTCTTGAGTTTGATGAGAGATATTTGATTTGTCCAAGAATCTACAGCTAGGAAACAATCCGTATAACTCTTGCGCATGGTCATATCACAGAAAAAGACCTTAAAGCTGGTTCAACTAATAAAGGAGAAGGTCGGTCGATTTGATATGTTGTTTTGATCAACTCAGCTGTTTCCATTGTTTCCAAAATACACTCGCTAAATAAAGCTACCTATGACATCACAGATTTGATCTCTACTTCTCGATTAAAATCCTGTATTCTATTGAATTTCATTGTGTTTTGACACAATAGGAAGGGATGCTTTCATGGTAATGCGTGATGTATTAGAACATGATTAAATCCTCGCCGCTCCTCACCCATCCTCACTCAAAATTAGTAAATCCTCACCGAAAATCCGGGTCGTGCCATGCGGCCTATACTACTTTCGTCAATTATGTATCTTAGATTCCTCCATCTTGAAATAATTTATAAGTTTGTATGGCACGTTTAGTATCATCATTCGAAAAAAGACAATGTTTTTCTTTGCATCTTGTGTATTATTTCCAAAACATAGGCTAATAATATGTAGAAATATTTCGTGTGCATTTCTTTAAGCATTATTTGCGCTATGTTAAATATTTTAGAATGTTATAAGTGACGTTTACTGAAGCGGATTGTTCTGTAGATAGTCCACCCGACGTGTTTGATATCCGAAAACATCAAGAATCTCTAACACCCTTTCCTTGTGCTTTACACTCCTTTATCAAGTTTTATCTATCATGATGTGGCATTCTAATGTGCTGTACACTGGACTTTTGGTCGTCGCTGTAATAATAATAATAATTA